AACATTCAGAGTCGAGACACTTTTCATTTTGTAGAGAAATGTTTAATCTACTTAATCATCTAGTTGCCATTTTAGATTAGTTTGTAGCTTTATTGCAATAACTTTTCAAAATACAGCAAAAAATGGAACTGGAAACAGGTTAAGTTTTGACCGAAAAAGATCAAATTTCAATGACAGATGGCGTTCTTTTTCATGAAAAGAAGGTTTTCTCCCTTGGATTTGGTGTAGAAACCTCCAAAACCACCTAGATATACTCAAAAATGTTCCAACTTTCCCATGTGAAACAGAAATTCACTTCAAACTAGTAGTTCAAGTCAAAAAGCCACTTGGGGTCGAGAATTCGTGAAAATCTTGTTATTTGGCCTTGTCATTTGACTTTTTTCGCCAACAGGATATGAGGTAACATTACCAAAATAACATAGATGTATGCAGTTTTCATTGCTCTATCCAATGAATGTGTTTTCATTGCTCTATCCATAAAATGTGTTTTTCAAAGTTTAGCCATTTTTGAGAAAATTCATTTTTTCCAAATCAGAGGCGAACAAGTCGGAGTTCTGTCCGTAATCCTCAATTTTCTCTAGTGGTTTGATTTTCTCAGACAAATAAAGGTGTACAGGGCGCGAGTTTTTTGTATCCTATTACTTACCCTCTATAAATATCTCGTAGACTACTCTATGCTACCATATTAGCTTTCACACCCTGCCCCACTCTACCCTATTGACTTCAGACAGTTTGCACCCTACACTTACACATTGCAACCTACAGAAAGTAGGAGTAAAATAGGGATCATTCGTTCAGCGATCAAAGTTCATTTTCCTAGCTACAGTTTTATTCAAAAAGAATAAACATACATTTTATTGCTTCCGACGATTTCGCAACAACAATATGTCATCAACTACGTCAGAATTCAAAGATTGTCATCTTTGTTTAGCATAGATCCCTTCTGATGGATAGCAAAGTCATGCACCACTGAACGAGCGAATGTCTCTCAATATTAAGCGTTCTTTATCCCATAGAGTACTGTCTATGACAAACGTTTCAACCTGTGCCTTGTCCTATAAAAATATTTCGTATTCCCAACCTACCCTACTCTAATAGTATAGAGTAGGAGCATCCTGTTCTATGAAAGGTATTAAATGGGTGCATTTGTATTAAATAATCATCATAAACAAAAGTCAACATAATAATCTTAGTAACCGTAAAATTAAAAAAAAGATATATTCTATATGATACACAAGAACGAGAAACATATTAATATGTGTATACGAATGTATATATGTTTGATATACTACACTTGTTAACATGACTGAGACACTGATTTAGGGTGAAAAGACGAAGAAAGACAGCATATGACCTGTTTTCCCTCTTTCCTCATTGTTTTTCTTATGTGTGTTATTTGAATTGATAACAAAAACTATATGAGACAATAATGTTATGCATAGAATCAAATTCTATATACCCGGCAATATGTATTCTTTTTTTCATTAAAAAAATATATTCTTTCTCTTTTATTTCTTTTTCTATATCCAGTCACTATTGCTTAGAATAAATATCTAAATCTTGACTGACTTCTTTGATAAAACTATGAATTAGACATTATTTATTACATTTCTATTTATTAATTAATTGCTGTTTAATTTGTGTGAGCCACATATCTATTTTTGTTTATGGTTTATGTTTGCTGATGTTATTGTGTAGTAGTAACAAGTGGTTTTGTCTCACATAAAGATAACTTATAACAGGACAATTTAATTCCATATTGACCGTAATTTCATGACAGTGACATAATATACCATTTTGTTTTTCTATATGAGTTCATACAGTCAGTGATCGAATTATAATCTGTGTGTAGAGTTTATCCGAAATCAAGACAAAAAAATAACCGATCGACCAGATCGTTATCGAATCCATTCAATGAAACTTGTACTTTCACAATTAGCCTCAGTCTTTAGCGTTGAGCTTCGACAGATTCTTCCGAATCCTTATGTCGCTAATTTGTAGATTGAGGTTTTTGTTGCGATGAATACAGTTGAAATGGGCGCTGCTGATGAAGATGATAAAAATTACGATACAGAAGGTATCGAATGTAACCATAGTGATCAGATGAAAACACTATCGCGCTCCCAAAATACATGCCGTTCTTCTCCTCATCATACAGCAAGAGAAAGTGAATCTGATGAATTAGTGTGAGTTCTGTAATATTTCTCTTCTCGTTTTCTGTAAATATAAACAATATCAATTTATATTTTTTTATTTCTCAGTTTACCACCTGAAGTGATTCGTCGTGTGAATGCATTAAGAAATTTACAAGCTGAATATCATTACTTAGAAGCAACATTTTTTGAAGAAGTTCATGATCTTGAATGTCGTTATCTTAAGAAATATCAACCACTTTATGAAAAGGTTTGTTTGCGATTGAATCTACAGCAATCTTTCTGAAAATGTGATGTCTGTTTTTATTTAGCGTTTCGCGATAGTCAAAGGTGTTTATGATCCATCAGATGCTGAAGCAAAATGTGCATTCGATGTAAATGATGAAGACGTACGAGTTCAATTTGAAAACTAGTTCAATTTTTTGTTAAATGCACTTCATTTTAGATTGATGAAGAAGAAAAAAAAACCGGTGGTAAAATTGATGAGAAAAAAGATGAGGAAAAAATGGAAGGTGACGAATTGCAACATACGTTTACTTCGAATGAATAATCTTTATTGTGTTTATTAGAAAAATCTAGTGGTATACCTGAATTTTGGCTACAAGTGTTCAAAAATTCGGAAGTATTGTCTGTTTTAATTCGAGTATGTAATTTGTAGAATTTCTACATACATCAGTATGCGATCTGTTTTTATTTATCGCCTTCATTTTAGGAGACTGATGAACCAATTCTTAAACATTTAATAGATGTTCGTGTCAAAATGCATAATGAAACACCTCAAAAGGTACATAACGAGTGAAAAAAGATAGGTTTTTGTTTTTAGAAGATGTTTTATTTTTGTTTAGGAATTTACTATTGAGTTTGAATTTACAAGCAATGATTATTTTTCAAATAATATTTTAACAAAAGTTTATGAATTACGTACTGGTCCTGATGAAAAAGATCCATTGTCGTACGAAGGCCCAGAAATTATAAAAAGTAAAGGGTATGTGTTTCACATTTTTACTGTATTACAAGAAAATATCTGTCGTTTCTTTTTGTTTCAAGTTGTGCAATTAATTGGAAAAAGGGTAAAAATGTTACAATCAAAATGATTAAAAAACGTCAAAAACATAAAAATCGTGGCACTGTACGTGTTGTCACTAAAGAAGTTCAAGCCGAATCATTTTTTAATTTCTTTAATCCACCTACTAGTATGTTTTCCCTAATCTACTTCAAGATATGCGCCATGAAACAAAAAAGTTTTCTTTTTATATAGTACCAGATGATCCAGAGGTCGATATTGAAGAAGATGCTGAACAAATATTGGCAACCGATTTTGAAATTGGACATATGTTAAGAGATTCAATTATACCAAAAGCTGTTTTATATTATACAGGCGAAGCGGGCGATGATGAAAGTGGTGGCGTAAGTTTTTGTTTACATTTCTGTTTGCAAAACTTTTCGTGATTTCTATTTTTAAGTTTGATGAAGATGAAGTAAGACGAATGGAAATGTTTTCTAACCGCAGATGGCTTTAAAAAATATTATCAATTTTCGACGACATTTTTAGGATGAAGAAGATGATGAAGAAGATAGTGATGAAAATGAAGCAGAGGTGAGGAAGGGTTAAGACAATATACTTTGAAATACTGACGTAAATCTATGATTGTGCTGTCTAAAAGAAACATGGTGTTAACCTCTTTTTCATGTGACGTTTCTAGGAAGAACATGGTGGAGCACATCATCATCATGGAGGACGAGGTGGTCATCATGGAGGAAAACATCCACCAGCAGCGCACGGTGGAGCAGGAGTAAGTCTTAATCTTGTTGTTATATAACAGTCTTGATCACTGAAGGATCTACTGTATAAGCAAAATTTTTTTCTTTATTTTGCAGGCTGCTGTTAGAAAATGAGAGGTCAGGAAATATGTGTGACGACAAAAAAGTGTCTGGTATCCTGTTTTTTTTCTTCCCTTTGTGTGCATATGTAGAAAATATATGTTAAAATTTGCTAGTTTGGGAGATAAATTAAACCATTTGTTTATTTTAACCAGAGACATAAGATGGGGCAGATGCTCTATGGGAAATGATTTGCATTATGCTTTGGAATAGTTATGCTTTTATCAGTTTTTACTTTTGTCTATTATCAGGTATAAAACTATGTTTCAGTTTATTTGCTTAAAGCTGTCTATTTTCTATTGTGATTTGAATACGCAGATATTTAATTCATGTGTTTTTTTATTCTTGTATAATGTTGTCTATAAGACAAGAATGTTCTTAATTTTCAATCTTGTTAAATTGCATATCTTTTTCGCTAATCACATAGAGCATACTAGCCTTAGTTCTTTATGTTCTGTTTGTTGCCACTATAACTTTATCCTTTGTTCAAAAAGACTAATGATTTCTACTATATTTTTTTGTTTAGAAATCTGGCAGGTCTAAAGGTTCACACAGTAGTGGTAATAGTGTTACAAATCAACAACAGCCTGAATGTAGACAACAATAAACACATGATCTTGAACATTGAACAATAAATCTGCTTATTCGCAGGCACGCACATCAGACCAATAATTTTTGTTTTTTGTTGTTAAAAGAGAATTATAGTTTATTTTTTATTATGAGAATTATGTTTTATTCTTATCGATTTGTAGTGTTACGTATATCAAAAGAATGAAATTGAAGTTGTCTTCATTTTCTTATTCTTCAAGTAACATATAGAAATTCATCGAAATTCATCATACATTGTTTTGCTGTCTAATAATTGTTGTATTTTTTATGATAAAGAAAAAAAAAGAAAGTCAATCTTTCATGCCACTTGTCAGATCATTTTTACTTTCATGATGGATGTGATCTTTTGATTATTGTTTGTTGTTATTTCTTATCTAATCTCTAAATTTAACCGGTATGCACAATACTACCGGATGTTCTAAACTGTTCTGATACTTTCTTTTCGTGTATCAGAGGTTCACTTTAAACGTGTTTTTCTTACACAAAAAGCGATTTTACCAAAAACTCACCCTAAAAACGAGAAAATTTGACTTTTTCTTCTTAGTACCATAGAAGTAACAGCGCTATAGAACTTTTTTGGTTGTGATGTAAAAGCAGAGTTAAATACAACAAATCTGATCTTAGAATGTTCGATTTTTTGCACAGTTAGAAAGATTTTTTTGCTTTAAAAGTTCGAATCCTAGTCTCTTATTTTTAAGTTATATAGAAAAATGTTTAATATATTTTTTGTAGAGAATTAAATGGCACATCTTCTAATAAAGAAATTAAAATAGAGAAAAATCTTGAATTAAAAACTGAAAATATTAATACTAAAACTTTGATCATATTTCTGAACTGAGATATATGTGCAACATAAAGAATGTTCCTAACATTTTAGAACACCCGGTAGTATTGTGTCGAAAAGAAAAATCTTTATCTTGCTTTCTTCTCGATAATTTATTATCTATTTTTTCTTTGTTGTTATTCTTTATTCATATCCCGTCTTTCCTGTGTATGTTGTACGCACGTTTCAAGAATAGTTATTGTGTCACAATTCTATCACCAATATTCTATTACAAACCATCTAAATATGGAAAAGAAAATATATACAAAATAGTTCAAGTTTTGTTTATCACATCATGTGTTTACTTTTCAAGAAAAATACTCTTCCCTCTTTCTAGTTTATTCTATTTCTGTAAAAACAATATTTATTTCCGCTTATATTCTGACACTTCCGCTTGTATTCTGACAGAATAAAGCTTATATAAAAAAACAGAACAAACAGAACACAAAAAAACATACCAAAAAATGACTACTGATAACATCGAGTCGATTGCACAACTTCAATCGTTGTACAGAATATACATACAGAACGGTGAATTTAGTTTTGTAATTTACTACAAAGCTAAGTTTACATGTTCGAATCTCTATTCGTACAAAAATGGATTTTGTGTTTTTTGATAGTTTTAGTTTAGAATACTATAATGGAATATCCTTCCGCTTGTATTCTGACAGAATACAGCTTATATAAAAAAAAAACCTAACAATATTTTTGTTCATCAAGCTAAAAACAACAATAGTTATTTGAGAGTAGAAAAGAAAAGTTTAAGAATGCATGTTCTGGAATTTCACTAAATTAATTTACGTAATATTTTAACGATCATACAGGATATCAAATTATTTTGATACTTTGAACAATTTCTAAGCGACTTTTCTTTAAATTTGAATAAGTTTAAAGAAAAGCGATTTGTTTCAATGACTGATTTATTTTAAACAAATTATTAGCAGCAAGTCATATTAAACTAGATTATATCAATTGCTCTAATTATTTGTTCCACCTCAAAAATATTTTTGAGATAATAATTTCAAATGATAAACTATTTCTTTTTTGAATATTCAAGACATGATTCCTATTTAAACTACAAGTCTTTTAATGCATGTTTTCACGGTTTTATCATCGACTGAACTTTTTTTATAATATTTACTCAGATTTACTGTATTTATAGGAAAAACGCTACAAAAAGTAACTGACATAGTTTTTATCTGGAAAAATCGCGTGAGTAATCGTTATTATACAGATTGTTGCTAAGATTGACGTAGGGAAGATAAGGCAATTGAATTGAATTGTAAATTTTAGAGATGGAATTGAAATGATGAATTATTTTTTCTCATCATATTTTCTCACATGAAAATTAATTTAGACTTTGACTGAAATAATAAAATAACCTTGCGATTGAAGTGTCATATAAGAGAATCTGTTGAAGAAAATTTCGATATTTCATTGTGTAGGTAAAGACGAATTATTTATGAGAATATGAATGAATAGATGATCGATTTATTACTCACTCTTTATTTTAGAAAAACGAAGAATTGGAAAACATATTCATTATTTTGAACTTATGCGGAGATCTATCCAATCTGTTATCTGCTTTTTTTTCTGCAAATCATTTTAAAAGTAATTCGTGTGAAAGAATATAAAATGCAATGTCATCTTTCTTTCTTTCTTATGTTCTTCACACAAGTAAAAAAAAGTAAAAGAGGATGAAGAATGAAATTTACTGTTTTATTCATTGCAAGTGAATGCAAATGTGTGTGAGTCATCAACACAGGTAGGCGAGAGACATCAGCACTTCGTTCTTCCTTTGGATTTTTACTTATAAGAACATCGTTTACTGATATCCAAAAGTTTTTTTGTAAATAAGCACTGAGTATTACTTTTATTTGCCTCTTTTTCTGTATGTAATAGGAACACTTGTTATTTCCTAATAAATTTCGCATAGATTCATAAAAGCAAAAAGCTATTTTGATGGTAGGATTGATTTCTACTTGCGAATTTAAATAATCTTTTTAACCTAACTTTCCTCCTTTACAGAGTAGTCATTCTTATCATTGATCTAATTATCGTAAAATTGAATTTCCATTGACTAATCGTGTTGATATTTCTGCATGAATGATTAAAAGTACACCTTATGTTAAAGAAAAAATGTAAAATCCTGTTTTATGTCTCATTTTCCAGATCTAAGAAAAAGTTGTTCATATAACGACACAAGAACATGAACTAAACGAAACAAATATAATGGCTAGCCATGATGACTATGAAAGTTTACCCGAAACAATGCATCCGACGGTACACGCTGCTGCTGGTGCATTGGCTGGTATTGGAGAGCATTGTATTATGTATCCAATCGATGTTGTCAAAGTAATTAATTATTCTTATATATTTATGAAACTTATAGCGTCATGGTAATGGTACTGTTCGATTTTTTTTCTATTTGAAATCAGACGCGAATGCAGTGTATAAATCCAAATCCACATGCCAAGTATAGAGGAATTGCACACGCCATGAAAGAAATCGTCACACATGAAGGTATCTTTCGTCCAGTAAGTGTTTTAATATTTTGTTGAACCTTTCAATTGATTTAAGCTGATGTATAATCTGTTCGATATAGGTACGTGGTATGCATATTGTTGCTATTGCAGCTGGTCCGGCTCATGCCCTGTATTTTTCATGTTATGAAAGAATGAAAATACTATTTAGTGGAACTTTACAAGCGGGTCATGACCCAATAGCTAATGGTATTTATCGTCTTCGTTCGGTAGTAATGAATGTTGTTTTTATGCTTAATATTTTTTTAGGATTAGCCGGTTGTTGTGCAACCTTATTTCACGATGCTATCATGGTACCTGCTGACGGTAAGATATATTTTTAATGCATACTTTCCAACCAAAATAACTACGAACTGATATTCTATGAGCATGTGTCATACACTACCCTCTTCTCCCCGCTCCCATAATAGATTTACTGGAAGAAAATTCATTTGTCTGAGGGTATAAAAGCTCAATAATCACTTTTATCACAACAAGTCTGGCTCTTTCGAGAAGTCATTTAAAATTTGTGTTTTCGTTATTTTTCATAGCTATCAAGCAACGTCTTCAAATCTATAATTCGCCCTATAAAGGTGGAATAGATTGTTTAAGAAAAATGATTCGCAGTGAAGGTTTAAGTGCTTTATATCGTAGTTACACAACACAGTTAACAATGAATATTCCATTTCATTCTATTCACTTAATCACATATGAATTGTTACAAGATATGCTAAATTATGATCGTATGTATGATCCATTATCGCATGTAATATCGGGGGGCGCTGCAGGTGCTGTTGCCTCAGCATTTACTACACCATTGGACGTATGTAAAACATTACTTAATGTTCAAGAATGTTGTTTGCCTGAACAACCTTGCTCAACAGCAACTTTAACTAGCACAAATATCAAATCTTCTCCCGTCAATGGCTTATTTACAGCAATACGTGTTATTTATACAAGTGGTGGCATATTAGCATTTTTTAAAGGACTAACACCTCGTGTTCTCTATCAAATACCTTCGACAGCTGTAGCATGGTCAGTGTATGAGTTTTTCAAACATTTTCTATCAGCAACAAAAACAGAGAATACGAGTAGTTTAACAGTTGATGATCAAACAAAATTATCAACTAAACTGACAGACACTAGGCACAGTAATATTTCTTCTCACCATCATCATACTCCTCCTCAGCACCATCCAATTATTCAATTATTATCCACATCTCAGACACACGTACCAAAATAGAAGTTAATTTGTATTCTTCGCTCTTTTTTAAATATTTTGTTATTGTTGCTGTTATTATCACGAAAATCTTTCATACTTTTTAGTAATGTGGCTAAAAGAAGAGAAAAAATATTTTTGTTTTACATGTAGTTCTTGTTAGGTTTTTTGCGATCAGACACTGTTTTACATGTATGTGGTTGTTTTTACTAGGAAATACAGACAAAAGAAAACAATTGTTAAAAGACTTTTTATTGTTCAATACTACAGTAGTTCTTAGAGACCTTCAATGCACACTGATCAGGGAAGAATATTTTCTAAAGTTAAACTATTTCTGTTTGCTGTTCAAATTCTCATCGCTTTCTGAGTCTTCTCGTCGTCTACGTTCTCGTCTTGTTTTGACCCTAGTGATCGATGGTGAGCAATTTTAATTGGTTTCTTTTTGGTAGTATTGCCCCGTGTGATGTCACATTCTAGTTAATTTTGTTTCTTATCTTTTCTTATCTTTTTCTTCTTATGAAATAGTAAACGGAAATTCAAAAGTTTCGGTATAACTGTTTCGGGTAAACTTTCATAGTCATCATGGCTAGCCATTATATTTGTTTCGTTTAGTTCATGTTCTTGTGTCGTTATATGAACAACTTTTTCTTAGATCTGGAAAATGAGACATAAAACAGGATTTTACATTTTTTCTTTAACATAAGGTGTACTTTTAATCATTCATGCAGAAATATCAACACGATTAGTCAATGGAAATTCAATTTTACGATAATTAGATCAATGATAAGAATGACTACTCTGTAAAGGAGGAAAGTTAGGTTAAAAAGATTATTTAAATTCGCAAGTAGAAATCAATCCTACCATCAAAATAGCTTTTTGCTTTTATGAATCTATGCAAAATCTATTAGGAAATAAGTAATTTTTATCGGTATATCATATTTTATCGGTACGACACCTTGCTGCTCACTAAAAGTTTTAAAAATCAATAGAAAATACTTTAGTTTTTGAAAGGTTTTCTAGAATATTTTTAGGTAAGAGAACGTTTTTTACCAATCTTAAGTACAGATCAGGTTGAAAAGATAAAATAGGATGTGTCTGGATATTTCGAAGTAGTCTGGATCGATTTCGAATGAATTATGAATTTTTTAATTTACGGTGAAAATGCATTATTTAACATAGTATAGGTTTTCACTAGGTTTTGAAGTTTTTTTCTAATTTAGAAAAAAACTCTTTTAAAGAGATTTTGAATAGTCGAAAATCTATGCTCAATTCGCTTTCGAGATTATCAGGCATCAAGGTCATCTGATAGAGATGCCTTCGGTGAAATCCTGCCACGCCGAACGGTAGTAGATGGAGGTCTCAGATTTTCATGGATGTGAGGCATAGATGTCAGTGTATGTTCTGCATATTTTAAAACTATATGTTGCTATGGAACCCTAGGAAACGGCAGCGTTGCCTACGGAAGATCCATCAGGTACACCACCTTCAGACAGGATTTTGGACCTGTTATTTTTACCAATAGATTTTCCCCAGTATTTTCTATAAACTGGCGAAAATGGCATCTCTGTATCGTTTGTGTATCAAACGTTACTCTGAAAAGAATTTCTGCATTATATTTTTTAATGAATAATAGTTACTTTATTTTCCTTCAATAGTTACTAAGCCATATCGACTACTATCTTTTTCACTGAACCGTGCAGTCCGATGTTTTGCTTATAACTTTTTAACAAAAAACGATAGAGAGCTGCGATTTTCAGTTTTAGAAAGTAGTATCTGAGGGCTATCCGTTTATGAAAATAAATTCAGAAATACCACCTGCAGTTGGTAAGCCTCTTCAAAACTTTTTGCAGAAACTTTCTCAACACTGAAGAAGTTTTGGAAACTTCAAATTTGCATGACTCACTTAGTTCCCGTCAAAAATGACTGTAATCTTCAGAAAATATTCAGCATTAGTCGAAGATTATAGACCATGACGAAAACCTCGGGTGTGATTCACTAAAGGACCATCGGATTTCCAGAGATCTCTGGAAAATCCTCTGAACTAAACATTTGTATGCGGGATTTGCTGGTCATTTTACTAGATTGTCCGAGTAAAACTACACATCTGCTGTAAATTTCGCTCATTTCGGATGAGAAATGCGAATTTGAAGTTTACATGCCTATAGGGAAAAACCTGTCAGCTGAAGTTCTTTCGATCTGAAGATGAAAATAAATAATGCCACGATAATCAGGATAGCTGATTATCTGTGTCTCGAGTGTTTTTGAGATTTTCGAATCTTCAGATTTGGAGACAGCATGGTCTGCGGAGAACGTCTCTAGCTCCCGCATGGTAAGAGATGGAAATCTGGGACTTGTTGAGAATGAGGCGCCAGTCCACGATATATAACACAAAACCCATTGAGAAAATTGAACTAAATCTCGGTAGTCAAGAAAACGAAAGCGTTACAAATTTTTTCTGTTGTGCGAGAAAAAATTACTCGACATTGAAAATACGCCAGCATCTCATTTCAATATGGAAAATCATGTGCAACATAATTTTGACAATTTTTTGTCATCCTGTTACAAAACATAACAACACCACTTATCAAGTTTGATGACAATAAGTCTTGTGAAAACTAGTTCTAAAATGAATACGATGATCTATGATGGTGATAATCTGTAGCAAACATCGGTTTTTCAAAAACACGTTTATATTTTTACGCCCGTGCCTTTTTTATTGAAAAATTTGACGTGACAAAATTTCTCTGCTCTTTATTTAACTCGGTGACTTCACCTGCATAGCGTTTTAAGCAAAGTAAGACATATGAATTCCGTGTGTTTCCGACTTAGCCTTCAAATTTCGCTTCTATAAACCACGTTTATACAAGTGAAGTTTTTCAGGCACACACAATATTGAAAAATAATAATATAAAAAATGTACCATGCAAAGAGTCCCATTTTGACCCTTGCGACACCTATAACTGGTCAACGAGTGAATATTTCGAGCTGATACTTTTACGATAGCCGTTGTATATAATGATCTTTGATCACTAGAAGTCTCATTTCGTTTGAATACACCGCTTATTAATAGCTTTCTGAGAAGGATCCCCGTTCAAGTGGCACTACTAATATGATCACTTATTATATGTGCCAGGCTTTGATTGCTTTACTTTTCGTGTTTAAAGTATCTATAGACATCTGCAGGTGTGGAACACAGTTAATGGAAAAATTTTCGGTAGATTTTGGGCTAAAGCTGAAAACTGTACAAAAAACATATAAAAATAGTTCCCGAAAAAAAAGGCTGCAACGTTCTTTATTTTTTAAAAAGAAATTTGTATTTTGTTTGAAAAACAGACATCCTTTCATTAGTCAATGAGTAGACACGTTTTAACCCTTAAAAGTCGGGGGCCGTTTTTTTGACAACGGGAGGAAGCTGATCACAAAAATAGAGATTATGGAGCCTCAGTATGCTCATGCCATGGCTAAAAAAATTAGCTTTTTTTCCATATAGATATACAGTCCATCTTGACGGCATGAAATTTTTTACAAGTTTTCTTTGCTGAAGCGAAACGAAATCCTTTTATTGGGATGATCCTATTTATTTTACTGTTATCACACAAAGTATTGATCAACACGTATTTTTATAGTTGTTTAAAAAATAGCAAAGAAAGCACACATTCTGTGTAAAAAAAAATGTTCATTTCAATACAGCCTGATTAGTCATCCGGATAAATGACTATCATTATTAGAACTTTCAAATAGAGTTGTGCAAAGAAAATAGGTTGCATAGAATAGTTAATATGTGCCTTCACGTTTCGTCAACGAAAGAGAGCAATTGATATTTTACTTTACAATGAACTTTTACATTAACCAATAGAAAAACATCAGAAAACAATCTTGACAGATGTTCATACACATCTAACCAAATAACGCTATTATATTTGTGTAAATTGTAGATTAATCTCACTTGCCGATGCCGAAAAACGAGCTTAATCCGTTGGCCAATCCCGGTATATTCTCCATTAAAGTATTGAATACGGTTCCAGCTAAACTATTAAAATCAATTCGCCCATTATATTGTGGAAAAAACTGTTCTAACAATTCACGAATTTTTTCAAGTACTTTTGTTACTTTATCATGATTGGCATTCAAAAATGCTTGAACTAATTTAGCAATTTTATCAGCGGGTAATGTGGCCAATAATTGTTGAGCATTCAGTCGTTCATCGCCAATTTCACGTTTACCCAAAAAGCTCCCGAGAATAGAAACCACAGTTGGTAATAGACTGAGAATAACGTCCATTGCATCTCGTGCTCCTTGCTCAAAATCAATTCGTTGTAAGGCAGCTTGTGGCAAGAATTGACCTACTAGATTCTGCATCTGTTGTGCAAGAGTCTGAACACCCGCATGGTTTTCAATGGCATTCAATACTAAAGTAGTCAATTGATCTTCCAATTGTTGTAGTTTATCACCGCCTAAAAGTAGTTGAAGTTGTGGCCATATTGATTGAAGATTAGCGGGATTCAATAGAATTCTGCTATTTTCATCAGCCACCGGGATACAGATTGCACAACTAATGGCATATGTAACGACTACGAAACCAACTAATAACCGCATGTTTTTTAGATATAGATCAATTGACCGGAATAATGCTTTTGATTGAAAAAAATAGTTTATATTTATACACTCCATTGAAAACTTAAGTTACGTGTGAAAATTCACATTAAGTGGTGTCATAAGGATTATTTCTCAGTGCCCACGTATCATTCTAAAGGAAAGGAATGACTCTACAGGAAAATAGTATGACTTGAAAGTGCATTACATATATGAATACGAGATTTTGTTGTGGAGCCTGCAATGTAGTATTGGAGAAAACCAGATGGATACTTTAGATGAATATTTCGGGCAACAATAGAAACACAATGCAATGATATATATTATAATTATATTCATCTGAAAACCTTTGTTGTTGGAGCTTTAGATTATTAAAGGTACCCCTCTCCCTCTTTTTTCACCTTGTTGCCAAATGTGGAGCACACGTCCAGTCGAGCTCCAATTTATACCAGAGATAGAACATCGAAAAAGAAAATCGATATATTTTTACCCAGAACTTTCTGAGATGTTCTTATATAGGTTTTCTGGAAAAACCCAGTTTTCATCCAGTCACATTACAACCCCCCGAAAAAATGGTCCGATCGAGCTCAAATTTTTATCACAGATACTTCAGACCCTATCTCAGGTTCCAATTTTTTTTTCCAAAAAATATGCTTTCCTTCTCGAGATATACGAAAAAATGCTCAAAGTCAGTGAAAAAAACTGAAAAATCTGACTTTTTTTTGCGTGATTTTCAGCATTTTTCGTATATCTCAAGAATCAAAGCATATTTTTTGGAAAAAAAAATTGGAACCTGAGATAGGGTCTGA